TGCCCGGGCGCGCGGCCGGCGGCTCGGCGGGGCGGCGGCCCAGCTGGCGGTAGTAGTCCCCCGTGCTGGGCTGCTTGCTGAAGACGCGGGGCTTACGGCCGGAGTCCTGCCTGTGCAGCCCGTGGTGGCCGTCGTGCGAGGCGGGCTGCGGGGAGACAGCGCGCGCTGGGCTTGGGCACCGGAGACCCCCACGCCTCCCTGCTAGGCTCGTGGTCTCCCCGGGGCTGCAGTCAGCGGCCGTCCAGCGGGGCAGCTGGCCCGGCCCCTAGACCCCCATGGTCTAAGGGTGGCGCAGGGCGAGGGTCACGGGCGCCCCGGGTAAAGGGCAGGCTCGGCCACCGCGCAGGGAGGGGTACTGGGCGCGCGCCAGGAAGGGCACCGGGGCCCCCCACGGAGGCCAAAAGGGGCGGGCCCGGGGGCGGGGTGGCCCAGCCCGGACGCCAGGGGGAGCCGGAGAAGGGGCACCTCCACCAAAGTCTGGCTGCACCCCGCGCCCGATCACCCGCGCCCGCACTCCCAAGATCCCCAACCGTCTCCAGCGGGGTCAGGGCGCGGTGGGAGCCCGACGGAGAGCCCGAGCCCCGCTAGGCTCCGCTCGCCCAGGGCCCACGCCGCCCGGGCCCGGGGCTGCTCCTACCTGCGACTGTGCCGGTGGCCCCCGCTGTGCACCTGGCGCGGGGGCGGCGCGGACCTGACACCTGCGTTACCCGATCCTTGCGCTCAGGTTTCCGCCCAGCCCGCGCATCCCCGCCCGCCCGCGCGCGCCCGCCCACCTATGGGCTCCGCGGCCTGGCATCACCTGGGCCGCTGGTGCCGTCCCGCCCCCGCCGTCGGGGATGCGCGGGCTCCGTCCTACACCCAGATGCGGCCCCGCCCTTGTGCCTGTCTCCCTAAGCAAGTCCTGGTCACTCCGACCTTCTTTCACCCCTGCCCCACTGCACCCAGGGGCTAAGGGCCTGACCGATCGGGGTGCAGCCTCTCATATTCGGCCCGGTTCCGGGTCGCGCCCCTACCCTTCGAGCCCTCCCGCATGTGGAAACCATCGCCATCGCGTAAGCGACACCAACACCCGCGCCCAAGCCTCGGGTTTCAGGAGCGACCGGCCTGGCTCGGGTGACAGCGCAGCGTCCCGCCCCATCGCCGCTGCCCTCGCTAAGCCCAGCGCGGTGACAGGAACATGAGGTGGTGAGACCAAAGGCCGAGTGACTGCGCGGGGCCTGTCTCCTGCCCACCCCAGAGCCCGTGCGTCCCCTTGATGGCCTTGGACCCTCTGCACCCCGCCTGGCCAGGCTCACGTTGCAGGAAACGTGACACGCTGGATTCCTTTTCTGGGCCAGCCGGCCCCCTGCAGCCCAGGAGGGGAGGTCGCCACGACCCTGCTGCCTCCCTTAGTTCGGCACCGCGCTGGGGCGCAGTGGCACACAAAGGGCCCTTTGTAGAGAGGACCGGAGCCTGTGGTTCTGCACGCACACACCGCCGAGGGGCGCGAGGATTGAGCAACTGTGGGCTGGGCTCAGGGGTGGGGAGTGGGTGCTGGCCAGGCCACTTGTTCCCTTGTGGATCGGGCCACATGCTACGGCCTGGGAGACTGCGCTGCGCCCAGAAAGTCTCCTCTGCCTCCTCCAAATATAAAAGGAGAATCAGACGTCTAGTCTGGTCTGGTATCGGGTGGAGTCCCCGCGCAGGTTCAGTGTCGCCCCTACGTCCCCCCAGGGCATTGTGACCTGGGTCACCTGTGCAAACAGATTACACCACTCCACCCTGCGGTGGCCTGCCTTGGGCCAGGGAGAGAATTACAGCGTCTGCCCTGCGGCGGGCCTCTAGGCAGCTGCCACTGCACACCTGGCCACCTGTGGTCTCCGCTGGTCCCCTCCCCGCTCAGACCAGCCCTGCTCTGTCCCTGTGGCCAGTGCTCCAGCGCCCTCTGTGGTCTCCCTGCCTAGGAGTCCCAGAGCTGTCCCGACCTGACCTGACTTCCATCCCCTCTGCCACTCCAGGGTCTCAGAAGCCCACTGGCTGATGGCTTTGCACTTCTGCTCACTGTGCCCGACGGGCTGTCCCCCTTCTCACGGGCTGGCTCCACCCACAGGTGCCCACCTGCGGGTAAGGGCTCCTCCACTCACAGACGCTCAAGCCCCAAGCCCGAGCCCTGTGCGCCCGGTCTGCTCGGGTCCACTCAGCGTGCTCCTCTCCCCTGGCCCACACCCTCAAGCCATGCCACCTGGAATAGAACCTCCTTGGTGCCTCCTTGGAATAGAACTCCACTTGAGCCCCGGCCTTCAGGCATGCGTGTCTGCAGAAGCACAGCCTACGTGCATTCCATCGACTCCTGACCACCCTGCCGCTCCAGGAGAGGTGGCACAGACCAACTCCTGGCGAGGCATGGCCGTCTGGGTCTTCATTCCTTCAGCCACAGCTCCCCACTGAGGCAGCAGTTTTGCCTGACCTCCTGCACCCATGGCGCCGCCCAGGAGCTCAGGGCCAGGGACACCCATCTCCCCCATCTTCCCCTCCAGCCAGTGGCAGCGCTGGGGGCAGGCGGTCAGGGCTCACTACCTCCTTCCTGAGGGTCTCGGTCCCCACATGGCGGAGCTTGCTCTTGGTCTGCATGTAGATGTCAGCTGCTTGCAGCCCCGAGGGGGGCTTGGGAGCCGGGTAGCCTGGTGGGGGTGGGGGCAGCTGACCGCCTGGGGGTGGGGGTGGTGGAGGGAAGCTGGGGGCCGGCGGTGGGTGTGTAGGTTTCCCTGTCTTGCTCAGAGGCAGGCCCAGCTCCGGGTTCAGCATGTCCATGTAGCTCTGTATGTCAGTAGCCTTTGCACCTGGAAGCCCTGGAGAGGCAGGTGAGAAGCAGGTTGGGGAGTTGCAGAGGCTGTCCCCCAGGACCAAGACTCCCCACCACCTGGAAACGCCCTGCAGAGGCAAGGCTGGCTCAGGAGCTTTCCCTGGCACGGCTCACTGTGGCCTCTGGCAGTACCAGCTGGTCCCTCCTCCCCGGCCCTGTGCTTATTGTCATAGGCAGAGGGTGTGGACAGCCTGGAAAGGGAAGCACCAGGAGGCTTTGGGCTCCAGGCTGTGCCTGTAGGAGAGGCCACCTGGCCAGGGCCAGGGTGGCTCCTCTGGGCAGACAGTAGGAACCTGGATGGCCACACCCAGCCATGGCAGGGCGCCCTGCCAGCTCTGCAGGCCGCCCACCGGCAGTGGGAAGCAGCCATGGCAGGTGCGTAGACTTCTATTCTCAGGGTGTGGCCAGACTGTGTTCACACAGGCTTGAGGCTTTGTGCGTTTGTGTGCTTGAGCCTATCACATTTGTGCATATGATTCTTTGCCCTGATGAGTGTGTGTGTGTGTGTGTGTGTGTGTGTGTGTTCTACTATGGAAACTGCATTGTATGCATGGGTTTTGTGGGGAAAGCGTACACATGGGGGTGCATGTAGGCGTGTGGTGAGCACACACGTGCACCAGCATCCCCTCCCCGTGTTTAGGGTGCTGGCTGCTGGCAGGGCTGCCCAGTGGCCCGCTCGTCTGCCCCCCCCCCCGTTGCTCCCTCTTCCCACCCGGCTCACTCACCACCCAGAGGGTGCTGGCCTTTGAGGCTGGAGTGGCTGGAAGAGCAGGAGTCATAGTTGGAGAGGGTGCTGGTGGGCGAACTGAGGTCAAAGTTCGGCCGCTGGACAGACATGGTGGTGTTGGGCGAGGACATGCCCGAGTCAGGCTGCTTGGCCTCCAGCTCGGTGGACGGATCCCGGGACAGCACGCGGTGCTCCACGCTCTGCGGGGGAGGCAGGAGGACAGGAAGAGGTCGGGCCCACAGACCAGCGCTCTCTGGGCCAAAGCCCCACTCGGGCCAGCTCGGGCTGAGAGCCTGGCGAAGTCGCCTCCCTCCCCCTGAGTCCCTTTGCACACTGTGAGAGAGGCTCAGGCTCTTCTCAGGCTAGGGTTCAAGGCCAGCCCCCGCAGTAGGACCACAGGCCCTGACCCCTTCCCACTTGAGGGAGGAGACAGCTGGGAAGAAGGGGCCGGGCTGCACCCAGGGGACCAGGGCCATGCTCCAGGCTCTCCTCAGACCAAGCAGGGGGCCTGGGCCCCTGTGGATGCAGGTGGGAGCTCAGGGCTGCAGCTGGGGTCAGGACAGGACAGGAAGGCTCACCCCTGGCACCTGGCCGACACCCTGTCGACTTACTGGACCTTCCAGCACCCGGCACCAGCCCAGCCCATCTCCTGACGGGCCCTGGGCTGGGGGGCAGCTCAGCTGGGATGGGCAGCTGCAGCTCACACCACCAAGCCTGTCACCCTCCCTCCCACCCACTGTGTCTGTCCCCTCCTGGAGGGCACAGGGCTGGGGTGGGGGCCCTGCTTACGTTGCCCATGGTGTCTCTGCTGCCTGCAAGCCCGTCGCTGCACTGCCTCCTGCCCAGAAGTGCTCCTCCCTGCCCCATGCCCCCTCCCTGCCTGAGAAGTGTCACAGGCCCCCCGGGACAGGGAGGCAGGCCTGGCACCAGGTAACGGCTTGACAGCCACGCTCACTGGTCCTATAATTAGGGACTCTTCGGGAGTGTTTGCCTTTTCTGGGCCAGCATCCTTGGTGGCTTGGAGCTGACACCACTGACGCTAGGCCTGCCAAGTGAGGGGGCCAGGCCCTGCCCCTACCCCACAGCCACTGGGACCCCAAGAGTCAGGGGTGGCACAAGGATGCTCTTTCCTTGGCTGGCACTAGTAGGCACCAAGGTGACTCAGCCCTGACCTCGGTGGAACAGACAAGAGGTTGGGACCCAGGCTGCGCGGGCTGCGACAGTGGCTTTGGATGTCCTCACCCCCACTTGCTAGCGGTGTGACCTTCGCCACTTGAGGGTCTTCACCTGTACATGTGAATAATGATACCACCTGCCCCATGCATAGCAAAAAGGTTTTTGAGACAGGCTGGCCTAGAACTTGTGGTGATCCTCCTGCTTCAACCTCCCGAGCGCTGAGCTGACAGGCATGCACCGCCACGCCTGGTTTCCAAAAAGATTTAAAAAGTAAAGTGCCAGGGCGTGGTACCCAGTAAACACCAGAGGTGGACACAGTTCACACTGCTGTGAAGATGGACTCAGGCGACACCTGCCAGTCAGGATTCGACCGCTGGGCTGTCCCTGTGAGCAGCTGCAGGCTAGCAGGCTCTCAGGAGGGACTGGCAGGCCCCAGGGTGCAGGGCCTATCCCTGCGGCCAGACAGCAGAGTCAGACTCCGTGGGAAGGGGCGGCTTCTGGTCCAGAGAGGCCCTTCAGTGTCGGCTGCCGCTTGTATGCCCCGGCGACAGGTTGCTCACTACCTGTCAAGCCACGTCCGCTCCGGGAGTCCCTTCCGGGGGCGGGGAGCCTGTTCTCCCGTCCATGTGCACTCTCTGACCCCTGACTTGCATATCCTTCAGGTTGCTGAACGGGGGGTTCACCGCAGTGTGCTGGCAGGCAGCCAGGAGCCACCATGTGGGAGTCTCTCGCATGTCCTGGTCAGCATCCTTCTGAGGGTGTCTGAGGCCCACCACTTCCCTTCCCCACTGGCACAAGCAGGCATTTGACCGGATGGGGCAGTCCTGAGCTCTGACACCTGCCCCTGAGCCTGAGTCCCAGGAGATCTCCACACAGCTGTACAACCATTGCGTTATGGTCTAAGTCTGGATTTCCCCCGGAAGCCTCATGCAGTCATGGGTCAGGCTTCTAGTTTATGATTGACTCATGGTCCAATGCTGGGATTATGGGTGTGAGAGCTACACCCGCCCGGGGGCAGGGAGCCTGCATACAATGTAAGGGAGGGAAAGAGGCTGCTTGTTGCCGTTCCTCCCTTTTTGCTCTTGCTGCTTTTGCTGTCTTCTGCTGCCATGAACGTTTGCCCTCTGCCATGTGCCACCCTGCCTTGGAGCCAGCCAAGTATGGCCTGAAACCTCCACAAACTGTATGCTAAATAAACCTTTCCTTTCTTAACTTTGGGAGTCAGGTACTTTGTCTCAGCAGTGAGAGAAAAGTAATTTGGGCGTCCAGCAATGAGAGAAATGCAACCAGGACACATTGTAAAATAATTTCCAAGAGTCACATGGGCTCCCAGTTATGGATTTACTACCAAGAGAGCAAGTGTGTGGGGCAGTGGTCAAGAGAGGGAGGTCCTGGCCGGGCCTGGCTGTCTGGCTTCACCACTTACTGGCTGTGTGACCTTGGGTCTCTGGGAACCTCAGTTTACCCATCCGTGAATAGGGACACTGGCACCACCTCCCTCGAGGGCAGGTGATCTGTGTGGGCTGGTGAACTCGGGCCTGCGGACTTCCCAGCCTCATCTCTTATCCGATGGCTCTGGTCCTCCCTGGCCTCCTTCCCCAACCCGTCAGCCTCTTCTCCCTCGCTGCCCCTCACTTCCCAAGGGGCGGTGGTTTGGGGCGTCACGGCTCCAACTCTCAGTGTCCCTGGACCTCAGCTTCCGTGGTAGAGGGTAAGACACCACCCGGGATGGGGCAGAAAGGGAGATGGGGCCTCGGCACCGCGCCTGGACGTACCAGGTTCTCCACGGTGCGCAGGTACCGGGTGCACTGGCTGTGGCCGTTGAAGTCCGACAGGTCGGCGGCCGTATACCCGTCACGGTCACGGACGTCCAGCTCCGCACCGTTCACTACCAGGATCTGGCAGCACTGCAGGGTTGGCGGGGTGGGATCCGGTGAGGGCTGGGCCGGCTTCGAGCTGGGCCGGTGCGCGCGCGCGCGTGTGTATGCGTGCGTGCGTGTGTGTCTGTATGTGTGTGTGTGTGTCTGTGTCCGTGTCCCAGGCGGGATGTGCTGAGAGCGCCTCGCCAGCAGAGGGTGCCCGCGCGCCGCCTTTCCGCCCGGTCCGGGCCCCGCCCCCGCCCTCCAGGCCCCTCCCCTCCAGGCCCCGCCCCGCCCTCCTGGCCCCGCCCCGCCGCCGGACCTCCAGCTCGCCGTTCTCCGCGGCGTCGTGCAGCGGGGTCCCGCCCCACAGGTCAGCTGTGATCTCGGCGCCGTGCAGCAGAAGCCAGCTGAGCACTTTGGCGTGGCCGCGGCTCGCCGCGAAGTGCATGGCCGTGGCGCCGTCTTTGTCCCGATCCGACAGGCTCACGTCCGTGCTGCTCACCTGGGCGGGAGGGCGGGGCTGGGCGCCAGGAGCCCTTTGGCCCCGCCCAGGCCCGCCCCCTCCCCGCCCCTCCGCTCACCAGCCACACTAAGACCGGGCTGTGGCCCATCTGCGCCGCAGCGTGCAGCGGGGTCATGCCGTCGTGGGCGCGCGCGTGCGGGTCCGCGCCGCACTCCTGCACCAGGTACTGCGTCACATCCAGGTGGCCCTCTTGGCACGCCAGGTACAGGGGCGTGGCACCGTTATTAGTTTGGGCGTTCACTCCCCTGTGAAGACGCAGCGCCACCGTGGGCTCTGGACGCCTGTTGCCTCCAGAGCCCCTCCCACTCCTTGCGTCCCGCTGGGGGCCCAGGCCCTGGGAGAATGGGCTGGAGGGGGCCTGTCCCCACTCCCTCTGGACTCTGGCTCTACCCTGAGCTACATCCCCAGCCTTTTGTTAGTTTTGAAACAGATCTTGCCAACTCGCCCAGGCTGGGGTACTACTTGGGGACCCTCCTGCCTCGGCCTCCCAGAATGCTAAGATCACAAGTGTGCACAACAACGCCCAACTCCAGTGACCTTTCTGTAAAATGCCCGGCTCAGCGCTTCCTGTCCTCAGTAAGCAGTCCGACCCGGTACCAGTGCTGCTTGGACGCTGACCTGACCTCGCCTACCTCTGCAGCCGTGCTTTATCACCATGCGCCCCGGACTCGCACGCTGTCCTCTGTGCTCTTGCTCGTGTCCCTGCACTCGCAGTGTGCGGCCGCCCCTCCCTCTCTGAGACTCAGGGCAGGCCCCTCCTTCGTGAGGCCTCTCTTGACTTCCTGGCCAGGGCAGGTCTTACCCACCCTGCTCGCCTCCTACCGGGCCAGCTCCGTGGGTCCCCTCCATGCTCGCCAGAGCTGCTCCCAGCCTGCGCCTCTGAGTACCAGAGAGTGGCAGGGTTACCACGGAAACTCCAGAAGCCTAGGGACTCCTCGACCTCAGCTAAACATCAAGTAATGTTTTAGCATCTCTCAAGCGCCGCAGGGTACGTGCTTATATTAAAACAGGACTTATCTGAGAGTCAGTTGGTGGGACATTCTGGCTTTTGTCACTGTCGCTAATCTAGCAACCATATGGAGCAGCCACCTTATACAAAGAACTTCCCGTGTGCCACAGTGTCAGCGGGTTTTTTTTGTTTTGTTTGTTTTGTTTCGGTCCTGGGGTAGAACCCAACAATGCGACATCCCCAGTCCTTTTTATGTTTTGAAACGGGATCTCTCCAGGTTACCCAGGCTGGCCTTCAATTTGCAGTCCTCCTGCCTCAGCCTCCTGAGAAGCTAGGATCACAGGCTTGTACCATCACGGCCAGCAGGCCAGTCCTGTTTTGGGGTGGGGTGCTGAGATGTGAGCCGAGGGCTTTTCACGTTTGGGTGGCCACAGGTTTGCAGCTGTAGATGACCTGAGAATCACACCTCTGGGGGACGAGGGCTCGGGCTGCAGTAAGCATGAAGGGATCCTAGGGGCAGCTGGGACTTAGCCTTCCGTTCTCGCTGTCCCTCGTGCTGGCTCCCCCAGTTTCCTGGGCAGGGCGTGGCTAGGGACCACGGAAGGCGGCCAGGCCACTAGGCTGAGGGAAGGGGGCCCCAGAGTGTAGTTACCACATTTGGCCACAAGGGAGCGCCACACTCTACCCCAAGCCAGGAGCTGCCCGCTTTCAAATCTGAACTCCAGGTGCAAGCTCAGCTGTTGGGCTCTGGTCGGCCCTGGGTCCTCCGGAGCGCAGTTCTTCATATCCTCGCCCTGAAACGCCCCCTGCATCCGTCCGTCAGCCTATCAGGCACAGGTGCCACCCTGTCCACCGGGCCATCTCTCCTGCACCCGTCGCTCCCCACCCCCATCGCCCCAACAGGACAGCCCCCTGCCTCTCGCAGCCTGCCAAGGCCTGGCCCTGTCCCCAGAGCCCTGGTTCTCCACGTACTTCCTGCCTCGGAGTGCCCGGCTGTCCGGTCTCTCTGTCCCCCTTGGCAGGGCCAAAGCCCCGGGCACGCAGAGCCCTAACGCTGAGCTGCACCCTCCACGAGTTTGCAGGGAGCAGGTGCTGCGTCTGGCTGTCCCTCAGCACCCCGCCCACCTGCGCCAGCAGAGTGGACAGGCAGGAGCCCCAGCCACACGTTGCTCCTCTGACCCACGCTGGCCCTGGGTGGCGCTGCCCCCACACTCGCTCCTGCTGCCCTGTAGAAATAGCTGATGAATATTTCACGACCGACACTCGGCAGCCTGAATTATTCACCCCGTCACCGAGGCACAGCGGGTGCCGGGGCCCTGGGGATTAGAGGCCGGAGGGGGCCGTCCCAGCGCCCGCAGGGTTCCCTCTGCGGGAGGCAGTGCATTTAGTCGGGACCAGATCTGCACTCATGCCTGCCCCGGCACCCCCGTTCGGCAGGCAGCCGTCAATCAGCCAGGGTGCACAGCCGGTCGGGGAAGGAGCAGGCCGGCAGGGGGCAGTGGCGTCCACACCCGCTGGCTGCCACTTCCTCAGCAAAGGCTGCTGCCTGTCCCCATTGTTGCATTTCCACCTCTGACTCCTGTCCCCTATTCTAGAGTCCAGCCTCCTGCCGGGAAGCCCCAGGACACCGTGCAGGTTTGCTGATGGCCCCACGAAAGAGGGCGGCCGGCCTCGTCCTTCTCTGGCCCGGCCTGAAGGCTCCCTCCCTACTGGGGAACAGGACAGAAACACAGGTAAGTATAAGGCACAGAGAGAACTGTCCCTGGAGAAATGAGCGAAGGACAGCGGTAATAAAAAGAACAATAGTGGGGACAGCGGCCACTTTTATGAACTGATTTCTCGTCCCCAGCACTGCGAAGTGCATGACGCCCACGACCTGTCCTCCAGTCCTTGAGGGCCTGGCAGGGTAGGCGGTAGCCTTGATCCTCTTTCACAGCTGAGACTGAGGCCACTTGACGTGAGCAGGCAGGGGCACCACGTGAGCCCGGGTCTGCTGTGTCCACACCCCTCCTGTCCGTCTGTCTGTCTGTCTGTCTGCCGCCCACAGCCAAACCACAGGAAGCCTGGCTCTGGGCTGAGTCCCACACCCCGAGCAGGGCCGTGGCGTCCCTCCTTGTCCCTTGCTCCCTAAGCCCGCCTGGGAGGGGGGCCCAGCACGTTCTCTTCCCTGTGCCCGAGGGCCAGTCACGAGGTGCCCACTGCTGGCCGTGGGTGTCCAGCCGCTGCCAGGCACCATTTCTGCCAGGAGGACCCTGCTTTCTGGGACCCCTCTGACCTGCAGCCCATCGAGTTCCCGTCCTGACCAGGGCAGCTGCCGCAGGACCAAGCTCCGGCCCCGCCCCAGCCTCTGCCCACGCCTCCCTCAGACTCACTCTGCAGGCCCCACAGAGCCTCTACCCTCTCTGACCTCGGCTCCCTCACAGCGTAAATGGGCCACATTACGGTCTGGCCCCTGTGCCCTCTGAGCCGAAGGAGCGCTCAGCTGCCCCAGCTGCCGCCGCGTCCCAACCTCCACGATCACCCGCCATTGCCGCATGTCACCGCCCCAGCCGCCCTCCCCGTCCACTCCTGCTGCCTGGCGACTCCCTCCCGGCCCCTGCTCCCCCGGGTCCCTCGGCCACTTGCTCCCGTCACCAGCCAGGCCTCTCGGCCCCTGCCTGGCTCCAGGAGTCAACGTGCCCAGGGCCACCTCCTCAGGTCAGGAAAGGACCCCACACCAGCCGTTTTATGACGCTGGGGACTGAACACCTAGCTCGTGTTTGCGAGGCCAGGGCTCTACCCCCGAGCTGCCCTCTGACCCCCACCCCCATCTTGATCCCGAGCGCGGGAGTCTTCAAAGACTCCTGACCACAGCCCTGAGGGGTCCGAGGCTTCCTGGCCGTTATGCTTTCTGCATGAGGTCTCCCCAGAGCCTCATGAGCATAGCAGCAGGGTTCTGGGACGTGATAGGACCTTTGGGCCACCATAGCTGACCTGCTGTTAGGAGGCATCTGGTCAGAAGGGGCGTGGCCTGGCCCCACTCCCGCTTGACTCTGCTTCCCGCCCACCTCGCCAGAAGCAGCTTTCCTTCCGCCAGGCCCGCTGCCATGGCGCCCTGACTTGGAGCCCGCAGACTGGGGGCCGAACCTGCTACAAACTGCGATCCCAAAAAACCCTGCACAAGGGAAGCAGCGGGCACAGGCAGTGATCGTAAAAATCACACGCTGTTTTTCTTCCTCCTGGCAGGAAAGATGATATGGACAGAGTGTAACAGTGAAGCAAGTCGCCCTGACTGTACAACAAGAACATGAATGCCTGCGGGGGGGCCGTCGCAGGGCTCCGTCCACGTTCGTGCCAGCTTGCTGTTCACGCCCGCTGCCCCACGGAACACGGCGTGACCCTTCCACCCCCGGAGTCAGGCTCAGGCCAAAGAGCACGGTTTCCAGGGGCCCAGCTTGCTGTGGCTCACTTCCGCCCCCAGGGGCCGGCGGGAGGGCTGAAGGCCCAGGACAATTCTCCCAGGGCCAGGGCTGCTCCGAACGCCTTCTGCTTATCTTTCAAGATCCCCACTGAGGCTTAGCACAAGGAAAACGGTGCTGCTGTGAGGACGGATCTAGAACACCCACTCTCAGCTCCTCGGAGACTCTGCCGACCCGTCAGAGAGAGAAGCTTCCTGGGGCTCACTGTCCCTCCTGACCTGTGGCCGTCCCTGGGTCTCAGCGTTCTCTGGACGCACATCAGAGGCTGCTGAGCAGGCAGAGGAGGGAAAGCAGGGGGACGGTCCGCTGGCAGGGACACAGGGGAGCAGGGAGGAGGTGCATCTGAGTGGGGCGTGGGCTCAGCCCGTCCCCTTGTCTGTCCCTGAGTGCTCGCCGCTGTCGCCAGCAAGGGGGCCCTGTGGACGCGGCCTGGGGCGGGACTTTCTCTAACATCGCATGCGGTGCTCTGTGAGCACAGCCGCAAAAGACCCGGAGCGCCCGGCCCTTCATTCTCTCAGCCACTGTCATGCGGTGTCAGGCGCGGGACACAGGTGGGAGATAAGGGCTCCGTCCTGGTGAGTCAGGCCAGACAGAAAGAACGCTGGCACTGGTGGCTGGTGATAAGAGCGGCAGGGACAGAGCAGTGGGGGCGGGCCTGGGAGGCGGGTCACAGTTGGTTCAGCCTTGGGCTGGCCCTGCCAGGAAGGTGGGATCCCGGCAGACTGGGAGGAGGGCAGGGCAGCCGGGGCTTCAAGGGAGGCTGAGAGGGTGGCACGAGGCCGGGAGGAGCGAGGAAGGGGGCCGAGAGGGCGGAAGACCTGAGCGGGAGGCAGCCTCGGGTTGCTTAATGATGAGGATGACAACGACGACAATGATGTGCTTTTAGAGACAGGGTCTCGCTGTGCAGTTCAGGCTGGCTTTGAACTCACTATGTGCCCAGCTGTGATCTTCCTGCCTCAGCCTTCCCTTCCCCAGAGCCTCCCCTGGAGTCGGGGACAAGCACAGCCACTGGCTCCCCCCGCACGGCCCAGCACAAGCCACGCCCCCAGGCCCTGCTGCCCAGGTGACCTCCGCAAACTCAGGGCCAGGCCTAGGGGGTGATTAAGAATGCACGGGTCCCGGCTGCCTGACAGAACAGGTGCCCAGCAGGGAAGGGGCAGCTCCACGGAGCCTCACCTGGGGCTCCCCACGGTGGGTGACAAGCCCCCTGTCCACCCCCAGGGGGCCCCGAGTGTCTTGGGCTCAGCCAGGCTTCAGAAGCTATGGACGAACAAAGGGGAAAAGGAAGATCCCCGCAGACCTGGGAGACTGGGGTCTGCACCAGGGGTGGGAAATAAACCCAGAGAGGTTGTGCTGTTTGCCCAAGGCCACACAGCAAGCCAGGGGGGCCCATAGCTGGTCAGGCAGCCTCTCAGGGACACCATGTCGGTGTCTGTCAGCTGTGAGGTAGAGACATCTGTCCTGGGCACCTGCGTGTCCCCTGCACTTAGAATACGCACGGAGAGGACACTCATGGAGTGGGGCGATCTATAAGAGGGGCCGGCCTCAGAGCTGCTACGCAGGGTGACTGTGAGACGCAGACACTGCTTCCCGGAGCCGGGGCCCCAGTAGGCACTCAGCAGGGAGGAGCTCTTTGGGGCCTGCCCTGGCTCCTGGCGGGCACGCCCCACACCCTGTCCAGGTGTGTGAGTGGCAGAGCCCAGGAGCCCCAGGGGGAAGAGTTCAGGGCTCCCTGCTGTCCCCAGCCTTGAAGGCCACGCCTCGGTCTGGGCTGAGCCTGGGGTCCCCAGCCCCTGCTCAGGCCCCAGGGCAGCCAGGGGCCAGCACAGCAGAGGCAGGATGAGCAGGAGGCGGCTCCCGCCCCAGGACCTGGGACAGCCCCAGCCAGCTGCCACCATGCCCCTCGCCTCCCAGCCTAGGGACCCCCTTCCGCAGGGGGCTCTGAGGGAGGGTCCTCGCAGGGGCAGCAGCCCGCGGGGTCACTGTGGCCAGCCCTCTGCTCCTGGGAAGATTCGGCCCAACGAACAGCGTAGACTGCAGGGAGGGAAGGAGCGGGGTGTCCCACAGTGTGCAGCCCAGGCGAACGCCCCCAGGCACAGCCTTGGCACCGGCTGGGCCCTCCCGGGGCTGTCCAGCCCTCCAGCGCCCCTGCACCTGCTCTCCACCGTGGCCATGGCCGCCCGCAGCCTCCCTGGGTGGGATCGAGTTTCCCACCGGGAGGTACAGGCATCCTTCCTCCCTCACTGGCCCAGGGAGAGAGCTGAGCCCTTGTGAATAATTCAGAGCCGCGCAGCGGCCCAGAGGCTCACCAGAGCAGAGCCCGCCTCTGCCCTCGCAGCTCCCAGCCCTGGATCCACAGCCTTGGGGAACGGCAGCCCCCTCCAAGGACGGGTGCTAAGCGGCTGCACCGGCCCCCAACCCCAGTGCCCAGCCGCCCCCTTCTCCCTGAGCCCAGCCTGGCAGCACACAAAAGCTTCTCCTTATCAGCCTGCTCACAGCCGCCTCCACCGCAGGGGTACAGCCCCGGCCCGCTGTCCACCTCCCTGAAGCCCTGGCTGCTCCTGGGGGCTGGCCATATATACACCGGGCCATCTGGCCTTGGCCTGGGCACAGGGCCTGACCACACCCAGACCTGGGAGGCCACAGCCCACGAGGGCATCCCACTGCCTGGCCAGAGTCTGTCTAGGCTCATCTCAGGCCAGACCCTGGGTGAGCAGGGCCCGGCGGTGCACACACGGGGCTCTGCATCCCCAGCCGGGCCCTCTGGCACGCTGGGAGCGGTGGGGGCACCAGGAGTGCAGGGAGACCTTCCCTGCTTAGGACCTGGGTGTCTTGGGCTTGAAGTGAGGGGCTGGGACGGAGCCTCGAATCACATCAGGGCTGACGACGCATCCTGGGCACAGCTGCCAGGCCCCACTGGAGGCTCTCATGGGAGTCTGGGCTGCGGCCTGGCTCTCATAGTGCCAGGTCGGACCCCGAGCTCAGTGTCCTGGGGCTCGTCCTCTAAACCCCGACGCTGGCCTGACCAGAGCTTGTGCTTGTCCTGGGAGGGAAACCAGGACAATGCGGGGAGGCGGGGGCCTGCCTGGGTCGGTGGAGCACCAGGGGGTCTCCCGCCAGCCTTTGCCTAGGAAGCTAGAGCCAGGCCCAGCCTGCCCTGGGCAAGGAGGACGTAGGAGCCAGGCCTGGCGGTCCTGGGGCCACGCCAGCATGTGGCTAAACTGGCCTCCGGCCTGCTCCCTGGTGGTCGGATCCTCTCACCTGGCAGGGCTCTCTCCCAGTCTGCCCCACTTTTGTGGCTCCCAGCCCAGGCACCCGCTTAGGCCCACAAGGATCTCTGGCAGAGCCCTACCCGCTCAGGCCCCTGTCCACTGGCACCCCATTCCCTCAGACAGGGGCTGGGTGGCTTCCAAGGGGCCCTGGCCGCAGGTGCGCTAGGACCTCGCTTGCCCCCTCCCTGCCCTGCTCTGTAGGGAGACCCTTTCCCCCATACAGTGCCCCCCAGCCCCAGCCCAACCACTCAGTCCAGGGCCCTGGGAATCCCATCCCCCAGTGGGAGTGGGAACGCACGGAGGGACACAAGAAACAAAAGCCGCTCTCTGAGGACCTGGCTGGCAGCTTTGGGGCTGGGGTGAGGGCAGGCAGGAGGGGCAGCTCTTCCTTAACTCTTTGATGACTGCTGCAGTCCCTCCTCTCCTGCCTGACTACAGAGCTCTTGCCTGGCCACTGAAGTTAGAACAGTCTGGCACACTGGGCATGGTGGCACACCTCTGTAATTCCAGCACTTGGAAGGCTGAGGCAGGAAGATCCCAGAGGGTTCAAGACCAGTTTAAACTAGATAACGAAACCTGTCTCAAAAAACAACAAACAGCAGGAGGTCCTGGCCTGGGAGTGGTGCAGCATTTGCTTTGCTCGTGCAAGGCTCTGGATTCCGTCCCCAGCACCGCACATGCACACACACACACACACACACACATGCACGCTCGCTTGCGCACGGCGGGTCCCTACCTTGGGTAGTCTCCGAGGAGCAGCCTCAGGGAGGGAAAGTCTCCTTTGGCGGCGGCGTAGTGGACGGGCAGGGCACCTGTGTCTGTGGTTGCCGAGGGATCCGCGTCGGCATGATGCAACAGCCAGTTCACCACCTCGGCGTGGCCGAAGCGAGCAGCCAGGTGCAGGACTGTGGCACCGGAATTGTCTTTGTCCTGCGGGAGGCGAGCGGCTAGAGTCCTGCCCCTGTCACGGCCTAGGGGCCCCGTCAGCCTCCCATGGGGCAGCCAGGCCTCCAGTAGTGTTTTGGGATTGACCTGATCCCGGCGGGTTTGAGTCCGGCTGGGATCAGGATGGTGGGGGCCCCCGTGTCCAGCCTCTGCTACTTTCTTCTCCCCCTTTCCCAGGTGTCACAGGGGACAGAGGCATCTACCCTGCCGCACAGCTCAGCCTGGGGGCAGGAAAGTGTCCTCCCGACTCCTGAGCCCGCAGGCCACGGGGGCCGGCTGTGCTCTTTCCTGTGGAGGACGCTTGTGGGCACGGGTGGGCAAGGCCCGAGGCAGCCGGCCAGGGGTGGAGGTGCTGGGAAGGGTTGGGCGAGACCCCTGCTGCACCCCGAAGTCTGACTTCATCCTCTGTGCACCCGCCCTGGCGCCTGGCAGGGAGGAGAAACGGAACCCAGACATCCTGAGGCTGGTGCATACGGGACGTGGGCACCATTCTGGCACCAAGGACACGGGATCGAAGGGAGGTGGGCGGGGACGGGGCAAGGTTCGGGGCCACAGTGAGAGGCGGACACGGTCTGCTAGGATCAGGGAAGTGAGGCCTCTCCAAGCCTGCTTGCCCAGGGAGAGGGCACTGTGGGGACAGATGTGGCCAAGGCAGCAGGGACTGGCAGGGATGCCCAGGAACATGGCTCTAGTGAGAAGGAGGCCTCTCAGGCTCCTGCATGAGGAGGGTGTGGGGGAGCTGGAGCCATGGGCACAGCCGGCAGGTCGTCAGCCAGGTTGTGGGGGTGGGGACAAAGGCTGGCCATCCCAGTAAGCAGCGGACAACCGGGGCAGGGCATAACCAGCCCAAGAAGCTGAGGGAGACCCTGAGCCTCTTTCTGCTTCCCAGGAACAGCCTGGCACGGAGGTGTGTGGTGGTATCCCTAGCACTCGGAAGGCTGAGGCAGGAGGATCGCCGAAAGTTCGAGGCCAGCCTGGGCTACATAGTGAGACGTTGACTCTCCCTCAGAAAAAAAGAAAAAAGAAAAAGAAAGTCCAGGAGGACCAGAGCCTGGTCCAGTCTGTCTCCCAAGCCCAGGGGTTGGGGCTGGCCAGAGGTGACCAAGGTGCGACCACAATAAAGTGTGTCCTGAGCCTCAGCTCTTGAGAAAGGCCCTCCTTCTCCCCTGGCCTTGGGTCTTTGGGTCTGAGGCTCCAGGGCGTCCCGATGGCTCGAGGCTTCCTGGTGGTGGTGGCCCTATGCAGAGATCACAGGCCTGTCCCTCAGGCACCACTAGCCGTGTGGCCCTCAAGAGCTGCACGTGCTGTGCCCCACACCCTAAGCTGCTTATCTCGCTGGGCTGGCAGGACCCGGGATCCAGGTCACCCCCCCACTTCCGGCCCTAGCACCCAGGCCTGCTGAAGGGCAGGGGCCTTGATAAGCTGGGCACAAGGCCACTTGGCCCTTCCACCTCGCTGCAGGAGGAAGGGAGGGTTCTGGTCAGCGCCGGACACCAGGTCTAGGGAGGAGAGCAGGCAACCAGCCAGGGCTGGCCACGGGCATCAGGGAGTCATGCACCTCCGGAGGAAGAGGCATGGGCCAGGTGCCCAACATCCCTGGTAACAGGGCAGAGCAGGAGATAAGGGACGGGCTCCCTGGAAGGACAGGAAGGGAGGCCTGCACTCTGAGGGCAGGAGGTGTGAGGCGGTTTGGCCACGTGCAGGGGCCAGTAAGCCAGCTGAGCAGCCCCTGCACCTGAGGTTGACACTGTCTCTTTGCGGAAATGAGTTCCGCCCCCACCCCGCCCCAGCAGGGTCCTGCAGGCTCCTCAGCTCAGCGTCCCCCCTACCTCCCTCCAGCAGGACAGGCATGCACACCCCTCAGGGTCTCGCACTTCTGGTCCCCTGCTCTGCCAGTCACCTGGCTACCTCCTCCTCACCCGCCAGGACACCCAGGGAGGTCACTTTGCTCGGGTATAAAGCGACTTAGAGCTGGGAGGCCCAAAGATGGCGGTGTTCTGAGGTCCACCGAGGTCCACCACCCTTGCCCCACACCGGGGTTTCCGCGCATGTGCACTGTGGCCTAGGCGGGGATGCAGTCTTTGCCCACCCTCCCTCCACACCTGATATGGAGGGTGAGGGCTGTGATTCTGCTCCCACCCGCAGGACTCAGGATAGGGCTCCTCCAGGAAGACCAGCCCCACGGAGCCTGCTCTTATTGGCTTCCCTGACGCCACCCAGGCGCTCTTCCAGGAGCGGCCAGGGGATGCCTAGCATCTGCCCGCACACTCCAGGCAGCCACCCCACCCACCATTCCGGAGTCACCAGGCTCTCCAGGGGAGGGGCCCCAGGGCTCACCTGCACTCTGCAGTCGCCCTCTGACAGCAGCCACTGCAGGCAGAGGAGGTGGCCGGTGGCAGCGGCGTCGTGGGCCGGCGTGGCGCCGTTGCGCGCGCGGGACGCGGCGGGCATCCCCACGTCCTCCACCAGGAAACGTAGACAGTGCAGCTTGCCGGCGCGGGCCGCGTGATGCACGGGCAGCGCGTCCACCGAGTCGCGCAGCGAGGCCTCCAGCAGGCCGGAGGTGTACAGGGACTTCAGCACTTCCAGCTCGCCCTGCCGCGCTGCCTGCAGCGCTTGCTCCAGGGCCATGGTGCCGCCCGCGGCGCCGCGACCCCGGCTCAGCTCAGTGCGCCTCGCGGGGCGCCATCCCGGGAGCCCTCGGAGCCCTCGGCCGTCGAGGCTTCGCTGACCGGAGGCGGAGCAAGTGCAGCCCCGCTCCACTCCCGCTGCCTCGCGCTCCGCTCCGCCTCCGCCGCGCTCTGGGGCGGGGACCCCGCGCGCGCCGGGTTTAGGCCTGGGGCCCGCCCCCCGCGCCGCCCTCTAGCCCCGCCCCGGCTTCCAGCCCGCCCGCGGGCGGCAGCAGCGGGGACAGCGGGTCTGCTTTCCTAATCTGCCCCACGAAAAAGAACAAGCAAAGCTGGGTTAGAATTTGACAGTCGTTCAGGACCCGGACGACTTCGATCATCCGCCCTGAGGCCACTATGAGCTGTTCTGGGGACACAGGCCAGCAACAAGCGTAGGGACAAGTGTCGTCAGAACAGGAAAACGGGGTGGTGGGAAGTGATTCGTCGACGCTGGAGGGGCAGCCGTGGAAGGGCCTCTAGGGAGGCCCCAGGAGCTGGGTTTTGAGTGGTAACGAGAGGTTTGTTGGGCGGGGGAACTTCGAAGAGGAAGGCCCTGATAGGGGCAGGTCCCAAGGGCCCCTCCAGACCCCGCGCTGCCTCGGGCCGCGGGAGGGAGGATGGGAAGGAGGAAGGACGCAGTGCCTGGTGCGATAGGCACGGTGAACCTAGACGCAAAGATTCCAGTTGCTCGGGGCTCACGTCCCAGGCGGGGGGACTCGGCCACAGGGTTGGGGTGCTGAGCCGGGAGGAAAGAAGGAGGGGAGGGCTGGGGCCGGTAGGGAGACACCGACACCAGAGAGGGCACCACGTCCCCGAGCAAGGACACAGGAAGGCGCCAAAAGTCACACGGGTGAGCTCAAGAGTGCCAGGCCGCCCTCGGGCACAGCTGAAGACCGGTCGTGGGAACTGGAGGACCCGGGCAGGAGCTGCTGAAGGCGGGCTGGGGGCGGTGGGAGCGCGATGGGCGATCTGCGACCTTGAAATAGCCTGTGTCCTGCCTTTGTCAGCCCACGCTGCCCACACGGGGGCCCGCGAGAGCCCATCCGACTGGTTCACCAGCTCCTCCGCCAGGCGGGCGCAGGACCGCGTCGGACGCGCTGGAGCGCGCAGCTACTCCCTTCCCCAAACCGTGGGAGTCCTGTCTCCTATACCACTCCCCGGGGCCGCCGCCTGGTGGCGCCGTGCACGGTGGCCTCTGGAACTCCCGGGTACCCTCAAAACCCGAGCCACTGTGCCCTGCATGGCCCAGTGGGTTTCCACCTCGCTGGCTGGGCCTTGCTCCTTCTCCTGGACCCGGGCCCCCGGAGATCCAGGTTCTTCCTGGAGGTTTGGGGTGCAATCAAACTCAGGCTGGGACGGGGGCTCTGCCAGGCCTGATGACCTCTCAGGGCTCTCCCCTGCCTACTAGGTCCCCCGGGTTCTCCCCTGGCAACCCTAAAGAGCCCCGCAGCAGCGACACCTGTGTGGAGCCACTTAACAGGCACGGTGACAATTTACTGTTGTTTAACCCGACAGCGATTGTCCCTGTTTCACGGCAGGGGAAGATGAGGCAGGGGAGTGTTCTGTTTTGTTGCACCCGAGATTGAACTCAAGGCCTTTGTCCCAAGCTGCGTTCCCAGGCCTCCTTTATTTTTTATTTTAAGACAGGGTCTTGATAAATTGCCAAGTTGCCCAGGCTGGGTTCACACTTGCAAATCTCCCAGAGTGCTGTGAAGACAGGTGTCCATCCCAGGGTAGCTCCCGATTCTAAGTGACCCCTTCTTCCAAGTAACCGGCAGGTGCCCAGAATCCTTTGGTGGGGGGGAACGGTGGCTTATCTGGTCAGAGCCCTTTCCGGCAACGGGCCAGGGGTGATGCAGAAAGACTGAAAATCAGGCGCAGCCAAGCCTGCAGACAGTTCACTCTGCTCCCGCGTCTTCAGGCTCCCGTCGCAGGCCTGGCGGGGGCTGCTCCAGGAGGAACTGAACGCCTGGCCCTTTCTCCCCGGACCTGGCATCAGTCAACCCCAAGAATGTGGGTGTGGAGCAGTAACAGATCCGGGTATGTGACCTGGGCGTGTGTGTGTGTGTGTGTGTGTGTGTGTGTGTGTGTGAGAGAGAGAGAGAGAGAGAGAGAGAGAGAGAGAGAGATATCTACAAAGTTCTCTTCTGAGTTCTTAAAGGATAATTGATAATCTGGGAGGGCCTAGCCCATGGCCATGCTGGCCTCAACCATGGCGGGAAGAGAAGGGTTCAGGCACCCCCAACCCTGCTCGGACACGTTTGTCGAATGCTTTATTCTCGTGATGAGGGCTATTACGTGGTTCATGAGGTGAGCGCCCTGAGCTCGGCATGCAGTGAGTGCTCCATAGGTGGCGGCTGCGGCCTCCGGGGTGCCACAGACAGGTGCGGGGACACCTGAGCTCCTGAGCTCTTGCCCGGGCTGCCCGGGCCCCTTCGCTCTGCGCTAGGCGGACCCCGGAAGGGAGGGGTCCGTCCAGCACCCTGGAGAGCGCTCAGCCCCGCCCCGCGCCTCCTCCCGACTCCCGCTGCGTGGGTCCCGTCCGCCGCCCCGCAGTCCGGAGTGTGGCCCGCGGGGGCGGCCGTTGCCCCGCCAGCCGGTCAGGGGCGGGGAGTCGCAGCAGATGGGCGGGGGACGCCTGCCAGTTTGCGGCAGCAACGGCCACGCGTCGCGGAGGCGTGACGGGGGGGCGATGGGGACACCCAGGCCCGCCCCGCGCCCTGGTCACGTGAGCTCCGACCGCTCCGCAGGTGCAAGTCGGAGTCCGAGGCAGTAGAAACGAAAATGAACTCCAAGGATCCCCGAGCTGGTTCTTTGGGGCTCAGTTTTCCCACCCAAAACCTAGGGTGGGAGGACCAGGCGGTTCCCGACCTCGGTGACCGCCCGGAGGGAGCCTCTGGGTGCTTAGAGCCTCGGGGTCCAGCGACTCCGCCAGTTTCCAGCGCGGAGGGTGCGCCCCAGACGTGCGTCCTCCGGGGTTCAGTTCCCTGTCCAGCTCGGAGCAGCTGGTGGCGCGCGTCTCTCATCCTCTTGACCTTCCTGGGGTCTACCTGAGGCTGGGGCCCGGGCGGTGCCGCTGCAGCCGCTGGGTCCCCCGCCGACCCGAGTGGGGCTCAGGGACCTGCTGAGCTCCAGGTGGGGAAAGAATGAAGAAGGGCGCGTTGGAGACGAGGGGCGCAGCCCCCCTCATTCCTCCCCGCCGGGTCGACGCAGCGACGGTGCCAACGGGCTCCACGTATCCCGCGCCCCCGCCACAGATGGGAGGCGGAGGCGGGAGAGGGATCCCCGGGGACACCCAGGTCCTCCTCTCCAGCCCCACCCCGCTCAGGAACAAAGGCGGGGCTGGGCGGGGCGGGCGAAGCCTCCTCCTTAAAGCCGGGCTGCGGGCGCGGGCTCCCTGCGCTCCGCCCTCTTCCGCCCGAGTCTCCTCTCGGCCTGGGCCGGTACCGAGCTCCCTTCTCGCGGGACCCGCAGGGCCGCCCCTTTCCCGTAGAGCATGGGGCTGCCTCGCAGGGAAGGGGATGCAGCCGAGCTGCGCAAGGTAGGAGCCGGGGATGGCCTGGGGCGGGCGGGTCCGGGGTCGCGACACCCCTAACCGCGGCGTGTGCGCCCACCCGTGCGCCGCAGAGCCTGAAGCCGCTGCTGGAGAAGCGCCGGCGCGCGCGCATCAACGACAGCCTGAGCCAGCTCAAGGGGCTCATCCTGCCGCTGCTGGGCAGGGAGGTGAGCCCGGGGCCGCGCCGGCGGGGGGCCGCGGAGGGGGCGCGCGCGTCTCCCAGGCCGAGCCCAGGGGCGCCCACGGAGCGGACCCAGCGCGCGGGGCCCTCAGCTCGCGAGTGCACGGTGCTTGAGCCTGCTGTGGTGGCGCGCGGCTGTAATCCCCGCCCGCGAGTTCCAAGTTCCAGCGAGCCTGGCTGCATGTTGAGTTCAGGGCCAACTTGGATTACATAGGGCGACCCTGTCTCTCTTCTTCCGCGCGGCCCGGCCCAGAACTCCCGCTACTCGAAGCTGGAGAAGGCGGACATCCTGGAAATGACCGTGCACTTCCTGCAGGAGCTGCCAGCTTCCTCCTGCCCCGCCGCTGCGCCCGGTGAGAGACTCTACACCAGGCCCATCCCTGCCTTGCGCCCCAGGGCCCTCACCCCATGCCGCCCCTCACACCGCTGTCCTCCCGCAGGGCCCACGGACAGCTACAGCGAGGGCTACCGCGCCTGCGTGGCGCGTCTGGCACGCGTGCTGCCGGCCTGCGGCGTCCTGGAGCCTGCGGTGAGCGCGCGCCTGCTGGAGCACCTGCGGCGGAGATCCCTCTGCACCACCCCAGATGCCAGACCGCCCTCACCGCCTTCACCACCCTCACCACCCGCACCCACGCCCTCCCCACCAGCACCGCCCAGCCCTGGCCTCTGGCGGCCCTGGTAGCCCCTTGGCTGGGCCGCAGAGCCAGCTGACTGCCAGCGGCCCGGCGGGCGGAGGGAGCTCTTGGCAGCAGCTGCCCTTCGCACACCCAAGGGCCAGCCCAACGACCAGCCAACACGGGCGGGAAGACTAGAAGCGGATGTCTGGGACCCGAGTGGCGGACTGCAGACCCGGAGGGCTCAGCTGGAGGAAATAAGGGGAGCTGCCCTACCTCACCCCAAATCTGGCCGGGGGAAGGGGCTGCAGGTAGCAAAAGACCCCCCATCCCGGCTGGGGGAGGTGGCTCTGGGTCTGGGCCAGCCACAAGTGCCTGTGCGGTGACACACCTGCCCTCCTACTGGCACCGGACCAAGCAGCTCACCTGGGCCAGGTGCAGCCATCTGCACTGACTGGCACTGCCCTCCCAGCTCTGCTTAGGCCTCCTTCCTCTCCAGCTGGGCATGGGAACCTTGGGACACACGGCCGCCGCGGCCTGAGGGGCTTTGTCACTGCCGGGACTGCGGGTACAGGGAGCACATAGGCCACAGGCCTGGAGCCATGACGGCCACTCCCAGGCTGCCGGGTGCCAGGGAGGGGGCAGAGAGCCCCAGGGGCTCCGTGAGCGGCCTTGGGAAGGACCTAGCTCCCCAGGCATTAATGTAACACCAACACCAGGTGGTCTTGGGGCAAGAACGCGCTGCCTTGTGGCACCAAGGAAGCTGTCACTCGGGAGGACCTGAGCCCAGCACAGAGGTGACACAGGACAGCCGAGATTCAAGCGCAGGCGGCAGGCTGGGGGACTGGAAGCAGCCTTCCTCATTTCCTCCCGCAAACGGCTCTGTGCCCTTCACAGCTGCGTGCCACCTGCATCCTGGAAGCTACTTGCTCCCGAGACATTTCTTCCTTCCCGGCAGGAGCCAGGCAGCCTGCTGTGGGAACTCAGGGGCGGGCCTGTGGGTAGAGACACCCATGGTGGGTGTCCCAGGGAGAGGGGACACTCTGGGTCCCGTGGCAGTCACGTTCTGTCGTTGCGTGGGGGTTTGCTGAGCACTTCGGAAGGCCGGAGCCCTCCTGCAGTCCTGGATGAGCGGGCTGTGCTGGAGACCAGGGCCCTGGGGAAAGAAGACAGACTGATTCGGGAAGGGACAGTCGGTGGGTCAGCCAGTGCCATACAGACCGTGATGCCCTGGGAGGCAGGATGTGGGGAAAGTGCCGAGACAGTGGGGTGAGGACCCCAGCCAGGCCACGGTGTGCTGGGCCCTGCACATGAGACTGTGAGCCCCCGATGGGCAGGGCTGGGGCTCAGTGGCCTCTGTGTCCCCAAGGTGCTGGGGGGCTTAGTGTTCAATAAACACGGTGCTCCATGGGAGGTACTGAGCCATTAACTCCGACCGCAGGCCCAGCCTCACCTTGGAAGGTTTCCTTCTGCGGCCTAGTGCTTGTCTTCCTGAGCTGCCAAGAGCAGGTAGAGAGGCCGGCGGGCAGGGAGCTCCGCTGAGCCCATACTGTGCGCGCCGGGCTCCTCCTCAGACCCCAGGCTCCTGTCCCCTTGAAGGAACCTGCAGCCCAGGTGTGCGCTGTAGGGCCAGACTCACCCGGCACCGCAGGTGCTCTTAGCCAGACCTGGCTCCTGCTTCCTGCCTCTCGGTCTGGGGCCTGCACGACCCGGCCCTACTCAAGCCTCTGTGCAGCAGTTGGGAAGGGGTGCGTGTGGACGGCGGTGACTCACAGGTCAGGCACTCCGGGATCCCGACTGGGGCGGCCGGCCGGGCCCTGGCATGCCCGGGCGGGTGAAGTGCAGGCCCCGAGGCAGAAACCTGAATTTCTCAGCAGGATGTGCAGGAGGCCTTGCCAGGGCTCTCTGCTGGGCTTGTACAACAGGGCCTCTGACACCCTCCTCCCAAGCTGCCTTGGGCTGTGCCCGGACACCACCCCACCTCCACCTGATTCCTGGAGTGAAACTGGCGGTGCTCCTGTGTGTGTGGATGGGGCATGGCTTCAAACACAGGGAGATTGCTTTCTTTCTTTTTCTTCCTTCCTTCTTTCCTTTCTTTCGAGACAGGGTCTCACTGTGTAGCTCAGGCTGGCTTCAAACTCACAGCAATTCTCCTGCCTCAGCCTCCTGAGTGCTGAGGTTATAGGTAGGATCATAGGCGTACACTACTTGCTTTTCTTCCAGTGCTAGGGATGAAACCCCAGGGCCTTGTGCATTCAAGGAAAGTGCTCTACCACTGAGGCACACTCCCGGGCCACAGAGGGCATCTTAGGACCTTAGCAAGTTCCAGATCTTGCCCGGTATCCAGCTCTTGGGATATCTGTTGTAATGTGTTTCTTTTTTTTTCTTTTTTTTGTAATGTGTTTCTGAGACTGAATCTAACTCCTTGCCATTGTCACCCTAGCTAGAGAAAAGGCCCTCATGTCCTCCTCTCACTGAATCTGTGGGTGAAGCCAGGCGTGGGATCCCACGTCTGCCACTGCAGCACTCTGGGAAGCTGTGGCAGAAGGACTGCAAGTTCAAGCCCAACCTGGGCAATGGAGCAAGTTAATGAGACCCTGAATCAAATAGAAGAACAGGGCTGAGGATGTAGCTGAGTGGGAAGGCCCTGAGTTCAAGCCCCAGTACTCAAAAAGAAAACCAAACTAGCAGGTGAAATGATTCCGTGCCTCCATCATAGCCAGAGGCCCAGCTTCCTGGGAGCCTGTCCTGCAGCAGCAAACCCTTTCAAGGAGACCAGGACAGGCCCCACCTGCTGTGGCACCAGCAGCCGGAAGAGGTCAAAAACCAGTCTGCGGGGGCCAGGAGAATTCGTCTTGGAAATACACACAGGTTGCCTCGCCATCCCTGTCAGGGCCTGCAAGCCTCTGTCTGGCCACATGCTTATAGCATTTACTCTTAATAAATTTACTTTTCATTTTATTATTTATGTTGGCTTGATTTATTATTATTATTATTGTTTAGTTTTGTTTTGTTGAGACAGGGTCTTGCTATTTGTTATGAGCTAGACTTGAACTCACCATGTAGCCCACAGTGGCCTCAAATTCCCAGCAATCCTCCTGCCTCAGCCTCCCCAGTGCTGGGATGACAGGCACGCACCAGCCTATTTTGTTTTTTTGAGATAGTTCTGGCTGTATAGTCCAGGCTGCCCTTGAACTTCAGATTCCCCTGCCTCAGTCTCCAGAGTGCTGAGATTATAGAAATATGCCACCACACCTGGCTTTACTTTTTATTCATTACTTTGCCTGTTTTCTTTCCTGCCGGGTTGATAAAGCTGTTCCAGAGAATGCACCCAGCCAGTGGGGTTCGTTTGCCTGGATTTCACTCACTTCACCCTCCCCTGCCCCTGTACTGGGGTGGGACCCAGGGCCTCACGCACGCTAAGCCTGGGCTTGAATTATTCAAGCCACTTCAGGGAATGTGGCTGCCAGACAGGCCTGCGCACCTGTGTGTGTGTATGCACGTATGTGAATGCGCTTGCGTGTGTGTCCCCGGGCTGTGACTGCATCCCAGAGCTGCCCGGGCACGCCAGGTGGGGGAGGCAGGCACCGCCCATGGGGGTTCACCGTGAGTAATGAGTCTCCCTTGTGGCTGTGAGGCCGAGGTGGAGCCCGAGGGCTCACAGGTTCACTAATAAAACATGAATAATGGTTTCGGGGCGTGAGAAAGGTGGAGGACAGGCACCCCTGCACACAGCGTCCTAGCACCCGAGGTCCACAGGGGGCAGACGGGAGCAGGGCCTGGTGGCTGTCACAGGCCGGGCTCTGAGAATGCCACCCCACCTCTGCAGGGGCTGCAG